CCGCTGCCCCGGCAACGCGGGCGGGCAGAGGCACAACAAAGGGAATGTCTGTCACACATTAACAACTAGCAGTTGTGGAAAAGAAAACGACTCAATGTCCGGCTTCTAAAAATGCTTCTGGAAAGAAGAGCTAAAAAATAACCACAACATAACAAAGCTGTTTGTTCATCTGCCCTCAGAGACAGCAGCAGAACACTATGAAAACACTTTGAAATCCATGATCTATGTATCTACGAAAACACTTTAGCTCCCGCGTTGCTCATCTCCTGCTCCGTCGCGGGGTGCCTGCCACCCCCGACACGCACGGCACGCCCTGGGCCCACGCTGCCGGGGTGCGACCAGGCGCCGCTCCTCCTCCAGCGGAGCCGCGACCCATCTGTTAACGCACTGGAAACAGCGCTCCATGTCGCGATCACCGCAGCTTTGGTGCGGAGTGGGGAAGCCCCCCGCGCGGCCACCCCGCTTCCGAAGGACGGCGGCAGCACCTGAGGCACACGGGGGACGAGAACAAACAGTTCAGTGACATACCGGCCTCTGGACTGCGAAGGCTTGGGGTTCTCGTTTCGGTTTTTATTTCCTTCTGTTGCAGGTGGTTGGGTAAAAGTCAAAACAAGGCATCACACAGGACACAGCACTTATGCCATGGTTCATTACAAGTTCATTTACCAAAACTGCAACCACAACTTACAAAGAAAACAACCCCAACAAAACCAAACACAAACCCCAAACCAAACCCCAACTGTTGACTGCATCTTGCCTTTATTTTAACCTCACTGACAAAAGTGTCTAGAAAATCGGTAACATCAAGCCCAGCAGCATAAAATATTTGATCAAAATATTCTTACTCTGGTTTAGAGGGGCATTGCTGCAACTCAGTGCTTGTATTTTCCCAAGAACTTAGCTTGAAAAGCCAGTTTTTTCTGTAGAATGGCCATATGAAATCATCTTTCTATCCCAGTTTTTAGTTATGGTTTGCAGACTAGTAATCAAAGTCTTAAATGTCTTGAAATTCTTGGCAGTACAATATTTGAAACACCTGCATGCAACAGAGGTAAGTTCCAAGTTAGCACCTGTGCAATGAAAAGAGGGGTGGATCCAGAGCACGATCTGTAGCTGACCACTGGGGACGGACGGGCAGTTTTTAATGGCTAACAGGAGGCCCAGCAATGGGTACTTCAATGGCAGATATAATGAGAATTTCATGCAAAAACTAAAATAGAGTGGTTGCTTGTGTTTTCTTGTGTGCACATTTAATTTATAAAAGCTTGTTTTCAATTTCTAAAGCAACTAATTTAAAGTAAAACAGCTTTATGATTTAGGTCAACATTCCGTAGCCCTCAAGTACAAAAATATAAATACAAACTGTTTAAACAGTATCTTTAATGAGATTCTGGCAGTAGTTTTTTTATCTAACAAGACACATCACGCAACAGCTCTGCCACTGAACTTGCTTAGAGTAAAATCAGCTTCAATATGAAGCTGTTAAGGTATCAAAACCCTGCTTTTTACATGCTAAATATCTTCAGCAAGTGTGCACTTAAACACAGCAATGAACTTAACTATAAGAATAACTAAATACATACATGAAACTCTGTGTGGGGAACGTAATTCATAGAACTGGTTACAACAAATGATTACCTCCATTTTGTTAATTTAAAAATGGTACAAATCATGCAAAACAATTCTAAAGATAATGCAAAGAAAGCTACCAGTGTTTGCAAGAAGTGTTCAACTAAACTAAAATTACAATAAACAAAATACGCGTATTTACTAGCAAAGTTCTATCGCTATTTCAAAGAAGCAGAGGTAAAATCTTCAGGTTTTGAATGTCAGTTTTACTGCAAAATGTCATTGCTCTTGCTTAATGCAGAAGCACATGCTTAGAAGCTCAGAACTGCTTATTCAGAAGACGTCTGCTGACAATAGTTCTGTTTCCCTAGGATCAGAGATGCTGCATGGATTAAAAATAGCAGAGATTTGCAAGAATCGAAGGCAAAGGCACCCTATTTCGTCAGCCAAAATGGTAGCGTTCCCTTTCTCATAAGCATGAATACCATAATGGGGCAGATGATAAACATTTCTACAAAGGCAGCATTTTAAATGTTATCATTAATTTCCCATTTTGTAAATGCCACTAGCAGACACCAGCTTGTAATAGTTTATGTATAATATTAACCTGCAGGATGAACTTGGGATTTTGTTTCTCCTGATTTACAAATAAAGACTATTACTAATGCTTTAAAAGACTACTTTTACTATCTAAAAAGTTCAACTCTTCTTTTCCAATATTTTACACCTCAGCTGGACTACTATCTCCTGTTGTTTCAAAACATCTGACACTGCTTACTGGAATTTTATAAAAGTTGTACCTCATGTATTAAGCAGCAGGCAATAACAATGGTGTTTCCCAGCACAGCTGCAACTGGCTGGCTACTGAAAGATTAGGAATATTTCTGAAACACAGGAAAACTCATGCAGTTTGGTAAAGTTTGCTGTCATTTCACAGTTTAAGTTTCCTTTAGTCATTGCACTTCTGTTGATAGTCTTGTTTTCTTTTTAAATATTACTCCGAATCCGAATTTGAACTAGCAATCTTCTTTTTCTTCTTCTTACCATGTTTCTTGTGCTTCTTCTTCTTTTTTGTTTTATCCTAAAAAAATAATTAAACTAAATGGAAGTTACTGTATAATAAAACTGCCATCTATTAAATTCTGCTAATGCAAAATGAGAGCATGGAAAGGATATCTTTAGAAAGACATTTCAAAAGAGACTGCTATAAAAGCCTACTGAGAAGTCACAAAAAGAAAATTCACATTTTACCCAGTAATTTGCACTATTATGAGCACTCTTCAATTTATCTCCATCGTGGTCTGGCTATTTCATACTTCTCATCACTGTCACTATTACATTTCCTAATCTTTTATATGATTTTCAGTGCTTTATAGATTTCTGAGAAAGTAATAAGGAAGTGCTTTGACAAGCAGCGACGTATGTTGGAATAACTAGGATGTTCGCATAATTTAAAGTAGGTGCTTATATTTACTGTGCAAAACTAAACAGCTCTTGGCTAGAATCTCCAGCACTTGCACCACGGTCTGGTGGAGGGGGCTGACCAAGGAACAGCACTGATGTCTGTGTGGCACACTGCTACCCTACCCGATACTATGCAGATACTGGTAGTTATAGTAGGTTGGTACAGAGTAAAATATATGCTACAGTAAGTGTTGAACTTATATAAATCTCAAATCAAATCAACAAATACCTATAGTGACAAATTCTTCCTTTAATTCAACAACTGACAAAGTGACTTCAGCAGGTAAATAGAGAAACTGTTAATGTAGATTCATGTGACAGTAGACTTTTGGTATCAAACATTTGTATTACTGAAAAACGTGAAATTGGAAATTAACCAACTATAGAGTATTTATATCCTATAATTACAGTATGAGTAAGAGGGATACTTGCTGTTTTCTCTTTCTCCTCATTGTTTTTCTTCTTTTTCGCTTGCACCTAAAAAAAAAAAAAATCAAACGTAGTGGGAGAGCAGCATAAAAGTTTGAGCTTTTGTTGCATATAAATGAATCATGGCACAACAGCAGTAGAACATACTGCACAATGACCCATGAAGAACCACTGGTTATCTGTGTTGTATTCCAGAATACGCATTATCCTATAAACACCCGATTTGGGAACACACTCTGCTTTTAATACACAGCAGAACAAGAAACAGCAGAGATACAAAGGTAAAATTACTAAGCTAACAACGTGGTAAAAATTCTTAATAAAAAACCCCACAACACATTGGATCCCTCACAAATTTTGTAATCCTACAAGGACACAAATCTTCAAAGTAGATATATATAAGGGTGAGAGTAAGATTATTACGTCCAAATTTTTTTTTAATTAACTGGAAAAGGGGGCCAAAAAATTTTAGCCACCTTGAAATCTTCCTATCTATTCACAAACATCAGAGAGAAATCTTGTGAAGGACATTGCCCCAGTCACTCAGCCTTATTTCACTGAGCTCTGAAATACCCATAAAAAGTTGAAAATTTTCAAGAAAATAAATTCAAAATGACTTGTAGGTGATAGAAGCTGTACTAAACAATTCTTACTACAAGTTCTTATTACAGAGAAAAATACAAACTGCTTTGAATGTGCTACACCCTTTAAATACAATTGTACAAGCCAGAATAGTTTCAACTACATATCAAATCTAAGCTAGTTCCTTCATTCACCAATGCAAATCAGGAAGCTAAAAGCATTGTAACATCTGAAACTGAGATTGCACACTGACCTCCTCTGTCTGATCCGATTCTGATACGGATTCTGATGATAAAGGTCCATCACCACGACTGGCTTTCTTCCTTTTCCTGTGGGCATTTTTGCCTTCCTACACAAAGTAATAGGTTTGTGAGTTAAGTAAGGCCTTTCAAATTTTATAAAACTTCTGCTTAAAACTTAGATTGACATATTACTTTGAAGTTGTGAAATATTTTTAAATATTGTTGACATTAAACTGATCACTCATCATCAACAAATTACCAACTATTAAAATGCTTTTAGGAGAAATCATCTTTTTCTGTACATTCCTTTCTCTCATTACCAAGATACAGCAGCCTTCTATAAGTGAGCGGACGACTACTACAATATAGTCTCTTATTTTAAATAATAAGACGTGAAGGAGTAAGCATTTGAAAATAAAATGTTTCACCACTTTTACATACTACTGAGTAAATGAAGATGTCTCAATATGCGCATACAAACACTGCAGCTTC